CTTCCTCTTCCATAGAATATAGACAAGATAGGTAACCCGATACCCTGCAGGTGTTTGGGACTACAAAGCCTCTAAGCAGGAGCGGATGGTCTAAAATAGAATAGAATTCTTTATTGGCCAAGTGTGATTGGACACACAAGGAATTTGTCTTTGGTGCATTTGCCTCAGTGTGCATAAAAGAAAAATAAAATAGAATATATTCATCAAGAATCATAAGGTACAACACTTAGTGATAGTCACAGGTTACTAATAAGCGATCAAGTTATTCTAGGAAACTAGAAAACCTCTCTCTAGTTGACAATTCGTCTTGCTTTTCTGGATGAAAGAGGTGGGATTGGGGGTTCCGTCCAAAAATATCCACTCAGAATTGTAATTCTAGCATTCTTCTCGTTACTTCCTTCTTTTAATTATTTCAATCTGCACGTGGCCCGGACGCCGGTTCTTTTTTTTGGGGGGGGGGGGACTTCATCACTACTGTTTCGATTTAAGCCATCCGAGATCAAACAGACAGGCGCTCGAGCACAGAGAGATATTTTCCTAGGATATAAATACCGTGATTTTCAGTTCGGGTCCGTTCAAACATTTCCAAGTCATCAAATGTTGACAAATAGTATTGGCGAGATGAACTAGTCTTAAGCAGCCGCTTTCTCCCTAACTCCTAGGTTGGGTGCAAGTATCTCCAGTAGGTATAGAGTTAGTTCACACATGCTTGAGCGTCAGTATATTGCTCGGAGTCGACATTGGGTAGCGGTAACTCTGAAATTGTGTTCTGTAGTTGAAGGTGATGGGTATCGTAGTTCTGCATATCGGGCCTGCACCCAGGGGAAGCGGATCGGTTCACACGCTCGAGTCAGCGGTTGGGGCAGCATTCAACATGGGCTTTGTTCACACAAGCCACCTAAACCTGTTTATTGAACTAAGTCATACCGTAGCGTAAACCCAGCTAAATTGCCTGGGTGTCTACACCACAAAACCACATAGCCAGATTATCCAAGCGAAGTCGAACCAACGTGGTCTGGCGTGGTCTCGAACTGGTTCTGTTTAAGGATGTAACTTGGAAAGAACCGGTGAAATGTGGAGCTCCGTGAAGAGCCAGGCCGGCTCTCCGTTGACGCGGCGATCCCTCATTCCATAAAGATTTCCAGCAAATCAAGCGGCCAATACGGATTCTGCACCGGGCAGAGGCTGGATTCCACGGCTTCTTTCGCCCCTTCCAGCCCTAAGAGCAAACCAGCCGGGTTTATTGGCAAACGGGACGGGGTTTCTAGGCTGAAACCTTCCGTCTGAAACCGAGCCATCCCGGGACAGCGCACAAAGCAAGCGCTTTAGAACTCAGGCCCAGTAAAACCTGGACAGGGAGGGCGTTTGTTTGCAATCCGCTGCCCTTAAAGAACACACAGGCGGCCAACCCTTCGGGCGGAAGCAAGACAGTCCCGCCTCTCGCCAGTTCATTGCATCCTATTTTACGCACACTCCCTCCCTCCCTCCCCCTTGCCTCTTTCTCCCTCCTTCCTCTGCCTCTCTTTCTCCCTCCCTCCCCGTCTCTCCCTCCCTCCTTCTTTCCCCCTCCTTCTCTTTCTCCCTCCTTCCCCTGCCTCTCTCTTTCTTCCTCTCCCTTTCTTTCTCTCTCCCACTCCCTCTCCCCTGCCTGTCTTTCTCCCTCCCTTTCTCTCTCTCCCCCCCTGCCTGTCTCTTTCTCCCTCCCTCCCCGTCTCTCCCTCCCTCCTTTTCTCTCCCCCTCCCTCTTTCCCCCTCCCTCCATCTCTCCATCCCTCTATTTCTTCCTCCTTCTTTCTTTCCCTCCCTTCTTTTTCTCATTCCCTTCCTCCCCCCTCTCCCCTTTCAATCTCTCTCCCGCCACCCAGCACCACTGTTACCGAAGGCATAAATTGTGCTGATGAAAGGCTGGAAGACCCACCAAACAAAAACAAAACCAACTCTGGGCCTGGCAACGGGCGCGAGGCTCACTTCTCTCCCCACCCCCCGCCCCGCGTGCCTTCTTTTCCCCTCCACCGCCGGTCTAAAGATAAAGTGGAT